ATAAATTTCGAAGATACCAATCTAAAGAATAGAAGACAGAGGAGAATGTCCTGTTCTACTATCAGCATTACATCCTTCAAGGATTACAAGGATTAGCCCCTTTGTTAACTCATATTGATAAAGCATTCTTTGTTAGCATACATTAATGAAGGGATCTTTAGATAGATTGCTAAACAAAGAGTACGTACGTATACAATTATTCTATGCAATGATATTATCCTATTCATACGATCGATATTTAACCTCAATCATGATCCAATATGGTACAGTACATCATTGCATATTCATTTATGATTTATGACACGGAAATTCGCCTTTATTCGTAACATTTGTAAATGAGATTAATTTGTTGAAGAATGGTTCAAATCTTGTCAATTTATCATTATCGATCGTATTATTAATTATTTTTACTAATTTAATTTTACTTAAAATTGAGTGAAATTTCAGTAATAATTTTATTTGATGAAACAAATTTTAAGAGTGTTGTTCGTCATGATCATACCGTTGAAAGAAATGAATCATAAATGTTTCTCCTTTCGTAGTCATAATTAATTATCTCTCTGTTATTATAATCAATTATTGATTGTTCATTTACATAATCGAATGTTCAAGAATACTCTATGCAAATACTTATATTTCACTTAAATTAATTGCAATTAATTACAGTGTATAATCAACCATTCTTCTTACAATGATGAACAGTATGATAAATTGCAATGATAAAATTAAAAATATCACGAATGATAAGGTACAGTTTTATCGAATGATTGATTTATAATGACATTTCCGCACGTATCGTTTTCCTTACACTGCTATTTGAACTGCGAAGTTTTATTTTCACTTTCATTTACTTTCATTTTTTCATACTTTTCAAATAGTCTTTTAATTTTGGTAGGTTGGTTTAATTTAATTAAAACTAATAAATTTTTAATATAAATTAGGGTAAAAGACTGCAAATACCTTCCAAATGATAAGAAAAGTGTAAAATTGAAAGTAAAATAGATTCATTTGCATAAATGATAACAATATTTGTTAATTATCAAAATTTGAAAAAAAAAACGAAAATAAAAGGAAGAAACAAGAACTTGAGTTAAAGCAAAAAAAAAGAGAAAAATACAGATTTATTCATTAATAGTTTGATATAAATGTGGAGAATTTTTGTAAATTAAAGATTTTATTAATTTGTTAGCCTTAAAAACAAAAGAGGGTTTTGTTTCAATAAAGTTCGAATAATTAGAAACGGAAACCAACTAATGAAATTAAATAAATGAGATAGAGATATTTAGCGATCAGTTATTTAATAATAAAATTAGATGAACAGGAATGACAAGTTTTATCGGAAAAAATACTATGGATACTGTAGGTTAAAAAAAAACTGAAAAAACTGCCAAAGACAGGTTGGTTTTTCTCCTGGTATACCAACGGTGATTTTCTTTCATCCTTTATATTGCATTTTTCTCATCCTATGTTTTTGCTCCCATATTTTTTATCAATACTGTAATTTCATTTATTTGCTGATTGATATGATAAGAAATTCATTCCATATTTGCGATGCTTATATAATTAGATTGTGTTTATTTACCAACTGATAAAATTCCATTTTCACTTGACTTATTTAAAAAGCAGTTTTTTTCTTTTAAAAAAAGTAGATTGCTAATTAATATTTGCAGATTTCAATTGAAACTTGTTTTTGTTCAGTTGTAAATAATAAAAATTTCTCCCTTCTTATCTTCAACCCAATTTAATTTCTCTAAAATTTCGTAATGATAACTTTTGATTATTTCAGAGAAATATATTTTGTTGATAAATTAAAGAGGAAATCTCATTTTTCTAAGATTATGAAATGTAATATCCTGAAAAAGAGAAAGTAAGTGCACAAATTAATGTAATGTTAATTAATAGCTAAGACAGGGATTTTTGCTTACAAAAACAAAAATTGATAATAATAATAACAAAGTGTAAGTAATATTCCATCACTATAATTAGTAACAAATATAAACTTATTTCATTTGTTTAGGAATTAATTATGCATTTTATAGCAAATTATCACTCGTATATTATCCTTTTTCACTCATGATCATTACTATCAGTAAATATAAGTTTAAAAAAATTGCTGCGAAATTATTATAGTAACATATAGCATGTAGCACATATCAGTTAATCGACATGACTGACATATATACGGTGAAGTTCCATTTGATAATTATGATTAATTCTACGGTAATTAAATGACAGTTTAAAAATAGTTATAAAATTATCACAGTAGCACGCAGCATATAGCACTTATCAGTTAATTAAAGTAATTGAGAAATATTTAAAATATATTAAGATGATTAGAGACCGTTGACCAGATGATAAAAATTTGTGATTATGATAACCTTGCTTTCTTATGCAACGATTTGAAGGAATTATTGAAAAGTTCAGGAGGAGATTGTAAAGCATTCAAAAATTCGAATAGATGAAATTGTACAAAATGAAAAACTTATGAAAATTTTTGTTTCTTTGTTTTCTTCAAATGCATATCGAAATTTGCATAAATATGAAAGTAAATGGTAAATAAATAGTCTTATTATTCAGTTTGATCATGCTATGAAATGTCACATTTCTAAGTTCCTATTTTTCCTTTTAAACAAATTAATGTCACTTAAGGTGCAATATGTAAAAGAGGATGAGAGAGAGAGAGAGTTTCATCATTCGAATTATTTTTTTGATCTTCGATGTTTCCTGAAATTTCAATTGTTGTCAAGTTTTAGTTTTTCCAAATTTCCTATATCATTCCAGTTATCTTTCATGAATTAATTCATTTTATTCTTTCGCATTTCTTTTTAATTAAAAAATAAAAATAAAATGAAATATACCGAATAGTTTTATTCCCTCTTTGTTGTTAAGACTTGAGTTGGGTGATTTAAACTCAAATCTAAAAAGTATAGAAATTTCACATTTCATCGAAATTCGGTTTTCGAATTTTCTTGTCATAGCAATATTTTGAAAAATTTATGATTTTAATGGATGCAATAATCACTGCTTTTCTTTCTCAAATTTTTATCATTTAGGAAGGATTGTGAAACGTCTTCCTGTTCCTTCAGAATTTTACCATCCAGGAGAAATTTGTGAAATATTTTCCTGTATGCACTATGATTGACATTGTTGTTTGCGGAAGTATTGTTCAAGATTTAGTAAGGTAATTTCAAAATTAAAAAAACCCCAAAAAGAATAAAGTATACCACAAATTTTTATGGCATCGAAACATAGCTGTAGTATTTACAAAAGTTTCATATATTAGCTTATATTAAACAATAATTAGCTGATAAGCTATCTTTAGCAACCAATAATCATTTAATGGATTACATGAAATAGCTTTGATAATCACAGTAATGATAAGCAGAATATTTACTTCATTGCATCGTCTTTTTGCTCTCCGTATGAGCTGTGTTAAATAATTAATTTAATTATCTTTCCGGGTAATTTATACCGATCTCATATTATTGATTGGTGTACAATTCACTGGAACGCTTTCAAAATTTTCGATTATTTTCATTAAAATTTATTTCCACCAGTATAGATTTATCCATATCGTTTCATTCCTTTTCCTTTGTCAAAAAACATACTTCATCCTCATCTTTTCTCCTCTCAAAATGGGCAGTATTAACTAATTAAATCAAAGATTAATTAAGTTTTAATTAAGTTACACGGATCAATTTCCACGACCAGGTGAAGCAGTAAAAGGTACATTTGCAACATCACCAGGTGGAAAAGGTGCTAATCAAGCTGCTCAAGCTGCTATGTTAGGTGCGACAGTATACATGATCGGAAGGGTTAGTGATCGATATATATATTACTTTATCAAGTTATTTTATCAGATGGGGGGAAAAAAGGCAATATGAGAAATAACCGTTTTAGTATTATGTACAAGGACGTATATGTTATTTCACGTCAATTTCCCGTTGTTTTTTTTCAATAAAAAAAAGGATGAAAAGATGATAGGTGAAATAACGTGGAGAGAATGATTAATGATAAAGAAATAATCGATATCGTTTACACTTTATGATTAAATCAATCTTAAACATTTATCGAATAAATTATGAAAGTTAAAAATCTTCCCTCATTTCATACATTGTATTTTTAAAATTTTACATTATACAAAAAATGAAAGTTTATAATTGAAAGATTGTAATAATCATAATTGCATTGTCTTTAAGGTTGGTAAAGATGTATTTGGAGTATGTAATGTGGAGAGTTTGAAAATTTTTGGCGTAAATACTAAATATATTGATGTTAGTGAGAGTGAAAAAACTGGCTGCTCTACAGTAATTGTTACAAAAGATGGTAAGCATAAGTTGAATTAATATCGGGTCATCTTTTCATTTCCACATGCTTCAACAGTAATAAAATCTCTTGCTATACAGTATAGCATAGTTCAGTACAGTGCTCTAAACATCTCCCTTATTAATTGGACATAAGAAATCAGCTATGAAAACAATAACAGTGGATTCTTTTTCTAACTTCCACTTTTCTTTTTAAATTTATTCTGTTGAAAATTTAAGGTCAAAATGCGATAGTAGTTGCACCAGGTGCAAATCTAGAATATTCATCATCCCGGATTGATGAACTGGAGGAAGTTATCGCTTCCACAAAATTGGTACTTTGTCAGAATGAAATAAGCTATGAATCCGTAAAAAGGATGTTCGAATTAGCCCGAAAGCACAATAGTTCTATTTTTTTTTTTTTTTGAATTGTTACAACAAAGTAAATAACTATTACTATGACCGTAAATGATTTCATCGAATAAATTAAACGATAATAGAAAATTTTTGAAACTATTTCAATTCAGATGTTCCCAAGCCTTCAAAAAATTTAAAGTCGAGAAAGTAAGAGAAAAACTGTATTATATTTCCAGTAAAAACATTTCTGAATTATGCTCCAGTTGAAGAGACTTTCGCTAAAAGTATTTTAAAATTGGCAGACATATTATGCGCAAATGAAATTGAGGTAAGTTGAACGACAAGCTTAGAATTTTGGCTAACATCATCTCTGACTTACTATTTGTTTATTAATCATAAATCATCTGTGGAATTATCTAATAGTAACGTTCCAACGCTTACTTCGGTATTGGATTACATACTACTTATGATTTTTGACCGACGAAATTGAGGTCAAAAATTTTCCGAACGAACCCCATTAACTAACTTATTCCCCCACTTATTATCATTTGTAAAAGTCCTCCTGACCTTGAACATCCTCCTCTATCATGTTTATTTCAGGCAGAATATCTCGCAGATCAATGTATTAAATCTATTGAAGATGCGCAAAAAGCTGCCAGGAAGTTACTGGATGTTGGTCCATTAATTGTGATTTTAACTCTCGGAGCGAAAGGTGTTGTATATGATAGCAAACAGGGTGATTCAGGTCACATAAGCGTACCAGCAGTCAAAGTTGTTGAAACTACGGTCAGCATTGCGCAAAATGCATATCCACAAATGAAATGTGTCTGTTCGTCAACAGTCCTTTGCATTTAGCTAAATTATTGAGAATTCTTTATAGGGTGCTGGAGATAGTTTTTGTGGTGCATTTGCATATTTCCTCGTGAAGCGATCTGAATTGGTGCTAAAAGAACAGATCCGACGTGCTGCACACATTTCTACCCTTTCAGTACAACGAAAAGGTACCCGTGATTCGTATCTATGGCCAAAAGATCTACCTTCGAACTTAATAATGTGATCTTTAACAGTTAGCCACTCCTCGATATATCCTGGACTTCTCAAAGTTTGTCGGAAAACTGAAAATAATGCTTCTTCTATAGGTTTTCGCAACAGCAAAACATGATCAATCATTGCTTTCTCAGGAATGACTAAGCCAACACTTAGCTTACGATTTTGCCATCAATCTTTACTACTGTTTTGATTGGCTGTAAATCTATTCATTTGTAAGACATTTACGACAATAATTGATACATAATGTAGCTGATTCCCTACAGTAATACAAATGAAATAGTCATAAAATATTAATATAAGAAAACAATTTGAAATAAAATGACAAGCGAAAGTTAATACTTCTCCTTTAACAGAAAACAAACTTTACGTCCACTGAATATTGTATTACTGAGCGAAAGTTAGTACTTCCCCTTTAACAGAAAACAAACTTTATGTCCACTGAATCTTGTATCACTGACTCGACTATTTATATTAGAAATAGACTATGATCTCCTTGATTTGTCCCACAAGGATATTATACTCCAATTCTCTTAGTTATTTGGAATATCCTTGTGAGACAAGTGTCTGAGTTATATGGAATGATTTGAATATTTGTGAGCATAACCTACTTTGTTCAAGCACTAATTTCGAGATTTTGCTACATTGACAAATACTCAAGAAATTTTTTGAAACATCCCGCAGCATAGTAATGAAATCTCACGAAGATTAACAGTGCTCCTCTTTACCAGATAATTTCTAACCACCTTCCTCTCTCTTTTCCTTTCCCTCCCTCCCTCTCATTTTTACTTTCATTTCATTCAATTACAAATACAATAAAACATATAATGCGGAAAGGAGAAGTTGAGAGGAAGGAAAAAAAAGAAAAATTTTTTACAACATACACCAAATAGTTTATTCAAATTTATTAAAGATTTGTGAAAAATAAAGAAATTAATTGCTACTATACTCCATCAAATTTACAATTCTGTGAAGAAATTTTCCTCACCGAGCAAATTAGAAAAGCAGCCTTTGACAAATTCTCATTTCTTTTGCATAAAATTTTCAAAACTAATACGAAAAAACGCCGCTTAAAAAAATGTATCAATTGAAATGAGATCGCAGCAAAAAGCAGAAAAAATACATTTCAGAAAACTAAAACAACAATGACAAAAAGGAAAACTGTAATTAAATCCAATCGTAAAATTTAAAAGAATTACAGGGGAAACAAGTATAGGAAATATGCCACATCTAAAAATGCGTTATTCGCCAGATTTTATCGCCATGCTTCATATGTTTGAGCAGAGTTGCCACTTTGTGATTGAGTATATCTAAAGGTTGAAAACTCTATTTCATCAATAAAATTTTGGGAATAGGAAATTCAAATTTGACACATAGACCACAAAATATTTTCTTCATTTCTTACTCTTGATTTTTGCCAATCCAACAATTTTTCCTTTTTCATTTATTTTGTTCTTATTTCCTCCAACCTGTCTCCTTTTATAACAGCAGCTGCACAGCCTACCAGACGTCATGGGCTTAGATTCTGCAATCCTTTCTCTAGCACTTGCATTTAAAACCTAGTTATGATAAGATGCTTGCTAAACAGACAAACGCATTATAAGAGAAAAGATTATCTACATCAATTACTATGCAGCATTTATGCGACCGGTCAGACTGTTTTAAAATCTTAAGCCCTAGTCCATCCAAAATCTAAACTATGAATCAGAAGTTTTTACTAAATAGTAACAGCTACAAAATGTATATGACTGAAACTGATTCTCAAGTCTCTAATACTGGAATGCCAATCTAATAACATATAAATACGATTTTTTTTTCCTTTGTAATTCCATTATCTGATTCTTGTTTTTCTCTCTTCTTCTCTCTTCTTTATCCTGCTCAAGTTTTCTTCGTTTTTTTTTCGCCTCACAGTGTTTATTTCTTTTGGGGAAGGAACCTGAGCGTTGGGATCCTAAAGTTTCTGATTAAAAACATCTGATAGGCAGTGCAAACGAAACGGTTTACCGTATCAAAGTTCTGCATTCAGCGAAGGGAGGATTTCGGGACTTACATCGACGGTGTAACCCAGGCTGGCATCTTACTCGTGGTACTTGCTGCTGGTAACGACGATGTTGATGGTGCCTGTACGACTGCATACGGATCATTCATTTCTGGACGTCTTATGTAATCCGGTACAGTGTTTTGAGTAGACAACTTCTTCGCAAGATCACTACAAATAATTTAGTTTAACTTAAAAAAATATTTAAACTAACTACCAAAATATGGTAAAGTAAATCAAAGTAGGATGAGACCAATCATTCACTGTTGCAAACATAGGGGAGTTCTATCCCTGCAGCAGTTTCTTATCACTAAACTACGATAAGCCAGTCTTGGACAAATCTTGCGCTGCTCATGAGCAACTACTCTGCTCTTTACATCAAATAACTTCGGCTTCGATGGTGAAAATTAGTTTGATTCAAAATACTTTTTTTTTTTTGAACTTGAGCTTCTTTTTGGATACAACAGAGTTTCAGAAAATTGAAGTGAAATTCACAATTCTAAAAAGGTCTGAAAATCAAAACGAAGCAAGGTACGAAGTGCATCCGAACCAACAAGGGAGAAAGGAATAAGAATTATAAGCACTTGCAAAAAACCGATAAAGAACAGAACACTTTGTAACTGCCTACCTAATCTCCCATTAGAACCTGAATCCCAAGAAGTTTCTGAAATTAAAGAATCATTGAACTTGCCTGACCAGAAGAATAGAGCACACGCTTAATGGATATCGAACCACGCTGTTTCAGTGATAACAGAATACTATAGGAAATGGAGCAAATGAAAATATGAAATTAATAATCTCTGCAAAACTTACTCAATAACTTTTTGTTGACGTAAAATATGCTCTTGCAAATCCATTTCCTTTCTGCGCTCCATAGCACCACTCACTAAAATTGAACTAAAAAACTGACTAAAATAAAGAAAAATATGACTTATGTATTTCATTTCTTCATATTATTAATATAGGACAATTTGTAACTGATCATTACCTAGTAAGAAATGATGAAGCGCCTGATCATAAACTGATACTGTATTGCACGAACCCAAGTTGAACTTTGAACCTCCGGATCTTTCTGATTTTTGATCAAATTTTCTCTGCTAGTTAGTCAGATGACTTATATTTAAAAAAAAAACGAAAACACAAAAAAGCAGCATTACATGGAACATTGGGACGTGGCGGAGGTAGAGCCACATCCGGTACGGCAACGTCCATCACGGACAATTTGCCCGGTGGTTTCCTTCGCCTGGCATCTGCGTAACCATACGAATCGAAAGCAGGGCCGTATGGATACGGAGCTGGCTGTGGTGGACGTCTCCAACTGAAAATGACACCGACTCTTAACTTTGTCTGCTTAGCAAACAACAATGTCAACAAGCAGAGATGACAGCAACCTTTGATACACAAAGGTAATCCACTTCCTCTTTTTCCATGGTAAATGACGACTGAATCACAGGTAATAAAGGTATGCACCTGTACTTCGCATCAAGAGAATAAAATCAGCAAAACTGAGTCGGAACGATTTCGAAAAATTCGGGGAAAACACGACATATACGATATGAAACGGTTTTTTTTTTTGAGTAAAAAGGCATACGGTTCCACTCTGTAACCTCCTCCATACCGCGGTGGAGCTTGCGGCATTGAATACGATGGAATCGATCGGAATGAATCGGATCGACTATATCGTCGTCTTCTATACCGCCCTGCTCTGTAAAAGAAACGGAACTTTCTTCAGAAAACTAGCAAAGTAAGAGCCACTGGTGGTTAACAAAAACCGAAAATATTTGCAAAATTCTGAAATCAGCGTTTTTTCTGGCGGTTTCGACAAAGACTTTCTATGCTAATAATATACGCCAAACATTTACGATTCCTTTTGTCTGATAGGCGAATTCGAAATTGCACATATATAAATTGTTTAATGATTGACCTTCGCCGTTTTCGAGAGGGTCCACCACCATCATCCTCTGCTATTCTTTTTGCATCACCAGGAGGTTGACCTTTCTTTGGGAACGTTGGTTTCGACTGCAGATTTCTCATTCCAGCATTTTTCTCAGCCGGCTTTATGCTCTCACAACCATGTGCAGCACTACTATCAATATTATTACCACCACCGCTTTCGGTTATGTCTTTTTCTCGTCCCGTTTCTAATCCACGTTTTCGATCTTGCGTCGTTTTTGCAGCATCACTTCGGGTCTGATTCGTTTCCATCGTTACAGATGCTTTGGATAATTTCTCCTGTTCCTGCTCTACCTTTTTCGATTGAGTGTATGAGATGAATTCTTTGTAGGTTAACAAACAATACATATCGGTTTCTGGTGTTGGTACAATAAGCCGATCCCAGCCATGAAAATCCACTGAAATTTTAAATTAAAAAAACTTTTTTCCAGAGAAAACGTCTGCTACAAATGCTGAAGTTGAAAAAAAAATTAGAAAATTCTCTCAATGGAAGGGCTACAACAGTGATAGCTGCCATAAATATAGAGGAATTTCCTCATACCAACCAATAATGTCATAAAGGACGCTTGAAATTTTCGAGATACTAGAAAACGGAAAAATATTCATAGTCATGAAGCTGTGAAAATTTAGACTCCAAACAGTATAAATTACTGATGGACGAATTACTGACAACATTAAATAACTTGCATACTTGCTTTCACTTTCATGAACTGAAGCAAAAATCTCATCAGCATACTATTATCATACAATTATACCAGTAGCACACCATGTTATATTATTGTAATATCATGTGGCAAGCTATGGGTAATTGTCAACCTTAATGATAGCTACGTTATGTGGCATATTTTCATATAATCATGTGTCTCATCATGACTTACCATTCGGGAAATATACTTTGACATAATTACTTGACACATTTTGTGCACCGAGATGAACAAAATCATTATTAGAATGAGCTGCTACAGCTTCGCGAGCAGTTGGAAACAATAAAAGAGCCATACGCTGCCTACAAAGCTCTT